CTTCAAATCCAGAAGGCGTGTGAACTTTGGAGACTGTTTAAACTGACCTAAATCATATGTGATTTTCAACTCTTCAGCGGGTTCACTCATTATTTAATTGGGCTCTGCGTGCTGTATGTAATAAACTTCTTGTGTGTGGGGGATAGTGGGAATGTGCATACGTGAAATTGACGTCAGATCCCTGGATCATAGCGAGGGAAGGTGAAAGGAACTCACACTACAGTGCAGCCTTACACCAGCCTTGCCAGTAGCGCTGTTACTCCCACTACTAGAGGAAACTGAAACTCAGTTCATTGAGGAAGCTCTCTCAAGCTTTGACTTAGGTCAAAGGTGACTTGTAAGGATACACAGAGAAACATGAAAGCCTGGGAAACCAGCTGATCTATTACTCTGTGTACCAGAACTTTATGTATCAGACCAAACACACAACAAGCCTCATGAAAAACTGGAATGTGCTTCACGTCACTGCAGCTTTGCCCCAGTGATGGGGCCACCCACGTCTCTGCTTCTCCCTAGGCATGTCTCATTGAGACTCTCCACAAAGAGATAGTCTGATGGAGTTGTGACATTAACACCCAGTGTGGAATGTCCTGATAGGGTAGCCTCAGATTCAGTTGTCTTGCCCTGTAATCAGTCATAGCCAGGAAGCAAGCCCAGTCTTACTGCAGGTTGCAGACCATAGCAACACAATGCTGAAAGAACTGCCTGGGAACTTTTTCCCCACAGTGGGGTTGGCTTTGGCCTGTCTACACTTTCAGGGACATTGAAGTAGCCTTAGGTCCTCAGAAGAGCACAGATTTTGGAGTCAGACAGACTTGGATTTGAACCCTGCCTCAGTCACTTAAGTTTCCTCAAATATACATTGTGGCTATCACACACCTCACAGGTGTTGTGAAGCTCAAATAACGTAAAGTGCTTAGCAGAGTGCCTGGCTCGTAGCTTCTGCACTTCATGAATGATAGGGTTTGGTATTTCTTTAATTTAAAAAACTGGAAATAAGGAAAGGTGAAAATAATTACTCAACTTTATCATCCTGTCATTTAGCCTGTTATCCCTGACAGTGTGCCATTTTCAATCCTGTAGGGATGCATTTGTATTGTTAATTATTTTTTAAGTGATCAGTCTCGTTCTGTCTCCCAGGCCTGGGTGCAGTGGCACAATCATAATTCACTGTAACCTCTACCTCCTGGGATCAAGGGATACTTCCACCTCAGCCTCCTGAGTAGTTAGGATTACAGACACATGCCACCACACCCAGTTAATTTTTAAAGTTTTTGTAGAGATGGCATCACACTATATTGCTCAGGCTGGTCTCAAACTCCTGGCCTCAAGTGATCCTCCCACCTCAGCATCCCGAAGTACTGGGATTACAGGCATGAGCCACCATGCCTGGCTTCATCCATTATTTAATTTAGGCTTTATATGCTACAAAGCTATAGCTTTTTAATAGGAAGTCTGTTTTACATAGTTGTAATTATATAATTTTGCATTCTTTTTCCACATTACAAAATATTTTAATGTTATAAATTCTGTATGTAATTTTAGTGAACATGCTAAAATTTATATAAAATGACTTATCATTGTACACCAAATAGAGACAACCAACAGAGAATTGGTTGAATAAATGGTAGTGCATTCACATAATAAAATATGAATTAGCCATTTATAAAGATGGATTAGGGCCGGGTGCAGTGGCTCACACCTTTAATCCCAGCACTTTGGCAGGCCGAAGCGGGCAGATCATGAGGTCAAGAGATTGAGACCATCCTGGCCAACATGGTGAAACCCCCTCTCTACTAAAAATACAAAAAATTAGCTGGGCGTGGTGGCAGGCACCTGTAATCCCAGCTACTCAGGAGGTTGAGGCAGGAGAATTGCAAGAACCCGGGAGGTGGAGGTTGCAGTGAGTCGAGATAGCGCCACTGCACTCCAGCCTGGTGACAGAGTGAGACTGTTTCAAATAAAAAAAAGAGATAGATTAGAGGTATATTTCTTAACACAGAAACATGTTCACAATTATATGTAAAATGAAATGGTTGTACCTTAAATATCAACTACCTCTCAAATCTGTCTGGATATTTTCCTACCTCAGTCTCAGCAACTTTCAAACTTTAATGAGGCTCCCAATCACAAAGGTACTTGTTAATTCCAGTTTCAGGCTTTACCCCAAGAGTTTGATTGAGGCTGGGGCTCAGGAATTGGCATTTTTACAAGGATCCCAGGTGCCTCTGATGTGGGAAAGTTACCTCACCCATTTCTGCCTATTGAAGCTATACTTAATTTTCCAGGCTTCTCCTACTTTCCCCTGAACTCCTGTAGTACTGGTAGCACTTGTATGCTTCCTTGTCTTAGAGTCTTAGCAAACACTTCTAAATTGTAAAACTTTTCCTGATCCTTCAGGCAAGCCTAGTTGCACACCCATGTCATAGCCCCAGGATTTGTGTGACTTCCTGAATAGAGATACTGAAGTAACCGGAATCCAAACTTCATTTCCTTTGCGGTGGAGAGAGAGAGGCTGAGTACTTCAGAACTCTTTAGCACACCTGTTACAGCAGGAACTTTTGGGAATAAAGGTAGTCTTTTTAACCTTGATGTATAACAAAAATAAAACCTTGTTTAGATTACTTTTACTTACCTCGACAGTCAGGTTGTGAAAAGTAAATAGTCTGTCCTTTGTGTATTTACTCTGGTCTAGGCCAGAGACAGCCAGTAAGTTGGAGAGGGCAGTTAAAATCCTTCTAGAGGCCTGTCATTTCAAAGAATAGTTTTCTTCCTGTCTGTTGGTTGATTTTCATTCTCAGACTATGTCATTGAGGATATTTAAGGTAAGATTCTCATCTTGCAGTTCACTTAGCGGCCACTCGTGCTAAAATTCAGATTGAGTTACACATCAGAGGACTTCTTCACTTAGATTTTATCAGTGTGATTTCCCTCCTTCCTTAAACTAAATAATATTGGATATCCATATCAAGTCAGGCTTTTGTCATCTTACATTATTTTTTATATAACAGGCCAGCTGTTGCAGATGCATGCTTATAAATAACTATTGCTAAATATTATGTTGAGATGATACTGAATTTTTCCTTGCTTGTAAAAGGACTAGACCATATTCTGTACAAATAGTTAACACAGAAGAATTCCTCGGAAACAAACCTTTAAAAGCCAGGTATAGTAGCTCACTCATGCAAAGTTCCTTGTTTCATATGAAAATGGTAACTTTGTAGAAGTCAAGCTCCAGACAACGAAGACTTGACAGTGTTGGGGCATGGAAAGTTCTGGTTAATCAAATGCTTCTGATGGGGAATCACCAGATGGAGTACACTTGTCCACGTGGTAAACTCAGAATCACTCTTCAGAACCTTGTGTAGAGGCATCATCTGTAGCACCCTACATCCATAAAGGTTTTCATCAGCCTCTCCTTGAAAAAAATTAACCTTTTTTTAATTCTATACCCACACAGTTCACTACACACACATCTATGATATGTCACACTCTAGTATATGTTTGTGTGTTGCTATTCTCTGACAGCTTAGAAATTCATTGGGCATAGAGCATGTGGCTTATTTGTGCAGCCTAATCCAGGTTCAATGCCTGGATATAGTATTCATCAAACAGGTGTATGAATAAGAATTCTGCACTGAACAGGGGATATAAATCATATAAACTACATTTTGTGGGTGTTTTCTGAGAAGTCCTGGAATAACAAAATTTAAAGTATCACCTTATCATGACAAATTTCCATACAATATTGTTATAATAAATTATCAATAAATGTTGAAAATAACAAGTCCAGTGTCTGGTTTTCCCTGAGTCCCTGATGGCAACTGCATGCTCCCCAGTCTGTGGGACTACTGATTTAAAAGCTAGATCTGAAATTCTACAGAAACCTGCTCAACATTAGCCCGTTGTCTACGTTAAATTCCTCTCCTGGGCTCTTAAATTCCTCAGAGGTTGAATTATGACAGATATTTAAACTTTGTACATACATGATGGATAGCAAACATCCCCACATCTCTAATGTGAGTATATTAAAAGTGCCAGACAATTTTAAAATTGAAAGTGACTTCTTCATTTTTACTGGTTAGGAAACCAAGCCTCTTAGGAGACAAGCAGTTTTTGTTAGGGGGAGGAGCACTAGAATTGACGTCAAATAGACCAGAGTTCAGTTCTTGGCTCAGAGGCTCAAATCATTGCCTCTAATTGGCGGTGTGATCATAAGCCCTTTACTTAATATTTTTGAAGATCGTTTTTTTTCTTTTGTAAAGTTTTGTTAATAATCCATCTCAGTGGGTCATGACAAGGGATTACTTGAGATTACCTGAGTCAGAGCCGCACAAGTGATATCTGCACAAAACAAATCCTCAGGGAGCTTTCATCTCTGCCCTTTTTTGCCCAAATCACACAGAGCTAAGACTTAGACACTTTCTTTGGGTTGTGGTTCCCACTTTACCTGACAGGAGTCACACATAATGAGGTTGCTAGCAAGGGGCTGTGTCACATCAGCATTTAAATACAGAATTCAGGATCTCCTACGTTAAAAACCATCTCCCTTCTGAGTTACTTTCATTGCTGTTGTTTTTTCTCTTTCATTGTACTTCAAGTTATGATACCATCCCAGTCAACCATCGACTATAATTTAACCTTGTATAATTGTGTGAATTAGCAGATCCTAGGAGCCTCCAGGATCTTAGAGCATAGTATATACACATTTTAGAAAAATAAGATCTGCATCGCCTAATAAGTCTTCAACTTTTAAAAATCACATTCTAAAATAATAAGTGAATTTGTGCGGAATTGAAGGGGTTTCCATAAATTCTGGCAGTAAACGAAGAGTGTGTTAAGCACGGAGATGTTAGTCATAAAAACTTAAGTCACCGTGAAACAGTCAAGCGATCAGGTAGGGGAAGCAGCACAGCATCCTGTTTCCCGTTCTTATTCTCCAGAATTCATTTGTCATTTAAAGAGACAATTTACTTTTCCCTCTTTTCTTTCCTGTAAAGGTAGACACCTGTGGGTTCTTGTTGTGGGGCGGTCTCCAAAGGAACACAGAATTGGGATTCCGGAGTTCAAATACGTGGCGAATATGCATGGAGATGAGGTACGTATGTGGCTTGAATTTCTGAAATGTCACCAGAGAAGCTTCCCCTAGGGTCTCATGAGCTCTGTGTAAATGCTACAGAGGAAGCTTGGAGAAGTCTCCAGCATGCATTGTAGCAAAGAAGCAAGGCCTGGAGAGGTCGTCCTGTGAGGCCTGTGGGATGTTAAGGAATCAGAGTCCAACAACCACCACAGCTGTGTGGCTGTGCACCCAGTGCCCTGTCAGAGTAACTGGGGCTTCGGAAGAAAAACAGTTCCCCAGCCCTGAGCTTCTACCTGCCAATCCCTGCATCTCCTTTCTGGGTTGAGTTTTCCCACCTCCTGGTCAGCATGAAGGTGAGCCAGCAAAGGAGCTGTATTTTATCTGAACATACAATCATCAGAAACTCCCAAATAGCTACCCAAATTCCTGTGATCTGGCTTTTCAAATGCTTTTGTTAACTCTCTCTCAAATCGATTACTCAATGTCTTTGGTGCTCCAGTTTAGACAGTCACATTTAGGATTCTCTCCTACCCACCTTTCAACAAACACTTGGCTGGGTGGAGTGGCTCATGACTATAATCCCAATACTTTGGGAGGCCAAGGCAGACAGATCACTGAGGTCAGGAGTTCGAGACCAGCCTGGCCAACATGGTGAAACCTTGTCTCTACTAAAAATAGAAAAAATTAGCCAGGTGTAGTGGTGCACACCTGTAATCTCAGCTACTTGGGAGGCTGAGGCAAGAGAATTGCTTGAACCCAGGAGGTCAAGGCTGCAGTGAGCCAAGATTGTGCCACTGCACTACAGCCTGGGAGACAGAGTGAGACTCCATCTGAAAAAAAAACAAAAACAAAAAACAACACTCTTAAATTCCTTAATAATATCCTGCCTCTTTTCCAACTTAGCAGGGATAAACTCTACTTTTATTTTTAGGTTTTACAAAATATCATTTACCACTGTTACCTACCCAACCATTCTTGCCAGGCAGTTGAAGATGTTCGCCTTTGTTTCTTACCTTGCTTCCTCAGACTATTTTGAGACCATGACAACCAAAGTATTTTCTGTTTACCAGGACTCTATAAAACTGAGGAATCAAAGAGTTCCCAGCCATTACAATAAGGAAATTTTGCAAAGGAATATGAGTATTACCCTGGAAAACTCAACTTGTAACTTTAGAGACTTTCTAATTTACATGGGTATTCCGATAAGTACTACCTGCTGACTTGTTAAAACTCTTCTGAATTCGCAATAGTATGGCTGGCATGCTCTAATCAGTGCTGAGCTTCCTCTTCTGGCATAGCCCCTCCCAAACTCTACAGGAACTGGATCCACCTTTCATGATACACTCTGCCTGCCCTTGCCAGGCATGCTGCCCAACCTGTTCTGCTGAGAGAGGATACTTCTTGCAGCTGGAGCTAAGATGCAAGCACCTGCCTCAAACAAAGCAATAAGTCTTTTAACCCGATTTTGGGGTGGGTGCAAGTTTAGTCCATCTGTGACTTTTTGAGCATAACGGGCAATTTCTTTAAAAAAGACTACACTGCAAGGAGTCTGACCAAAGTTGGTTTTAATAAAACAGCTGTTCATTACAGACAGCAGCTCAGACTGCCTTTTCCTTTTGCTATCAAGTCTATTGATCAAGGTGCCTCAGAATGTATTTTTGTTGTTGTTGTTTTTTGGTTTTTGATTTTTTTGAGACAGAGTTTCCCTCCTGTTTCCCAGGCTGGAGTGCAATGGTGTGATCTTGGCTCTGCAACCTCCACCTACAAGGTTCAAGCGATTGTCCTACCTCCACCTCCTGAGTAGCTGGGACTATAGGCATACACCACTACTGCCAGCTAATTTTTTTTTTTTTTTTTTCTTTTTAGTAGAGATGAGGTTTCACCATTTTGGCCAGGCTGGTCTCGAACCCCTGACCTCAGGTGAGCCACCTGCCTCAGCCTCCCAAAATGCTGGAATTACAGGTCAGCCACTGCGCCAGGTTCAGAACGCATTTGTAACAAGAGACATATGGCATTCATTGTCTTTCGTAGTTTATTTATTGAATTCCTGGCATTTCAGAGATTTCATCCTGCTACTCTGAAATTAGTCCTCAGAACTGAAACTTCCAAAGATAAGCAAGAGTGCTTTCCCTCACCTACCACCGAATTTGCTTATTCTTTCCATGCACTTTCCTACATTTCTGGCATCTTGCTGTCTGGGTAGCTGGCGTGTCCTTTCAAATCAGGGCTTGCTAGTTCATTTCTTTGAGAAATGCTGAGGGCTGAGACTAGACAGTGGGGGAAAGTCCCAGTGTATTTTGGGGTGGGAATTTGAAGCACTATTTACTCTCTTATGTGTCCCAGCTCGTGGCAATGTTTGGGAGCTCTATGGGGCCAGTAAGAAATTTATTTTTCTGAATTTGAGATCTCATCTATTCTGCCCTCTCTATGCCTCCAGGAGATGGAGAAAGTGATGGCTTAACATTGGAGCAGAGAAGTCCTTCTGAATACAGGATCTAATAACCCATTTTTTTCTCCTATAGATCTTTTGAAATTGAAAGCTTTTTTTTTTTTAGATAGAGTTTTGCTCTGTTGCCAGGCCGGAGTGTGGTGGCGCAATCTCGGCTCACTGCAACCTCTGCCTCCAGGGTTCAAGTGATTCTCCTGCCTCAGCCTCCTAAGTAGCTGAGACTGCAGGCATGCACCACCACACCCAGCTAATTTTTGTATTTTTAATAGAGACAGGATTTCTCCATGTTGGCCAGGATGGTCTCAATCTCTTGACCTCGTGATCCACCCACCTCAGCCTCCCAAAGTGCTGAGCCATTGTGACAGGTGTGAGCCATTGTGCCCGGACGAAAGATTTTTAAGAAACAACAGAGCTAACATTTTAGGGCAGTGGTTCTTAACTGTTTGGGGATGTATTCCTTGCTATTCTGGTATAAATTTGATCTCTGACTTCTTGATCTTCAGGATCATCTAGGAGTTTATGGACCTTAGATAGAGAATTCCAGCAGGGAACACACACACACTGAGTGGCAGGGTGGACAGAACTGACCTCACTATTTTCAAAATGGGACCCCATTCTGACTGTGTGTGTATATTTCTGTATGTATGTTTCCACACCTAATACCATGGCTAGATGACAGGCAGCATCGGCGGCAGCATCAGGGAGACTCAGTTCTGCTGATGACACCTACCAATTTCCCCCATGTATTTTTATTTTACCCATTTATGCCTTGTTTTAGAATTGGGTCTTTTTTAAATTAGAAATTGTCTGGTGGCCAAAAAGCATATGAAAAAATGTCCAACAACACTAATCATCAGAGAAATGCAAATCAAAACCACAATGAGATATCATGTCACACCAGTTAGAATGGCTATTATTAAAAAGTCAAAAAATAACAGATGCTGATGAGGCTGCAGAGAAAAGGGATTCCTTATACACCGCTGGTGGGAATGTGTAAATTAGGTTAACCGCTGTGGAAAGCAGTGTGGCAATTTCCCAAAGAACTTAAGACAGACCTACCATTCAGCCCAGCAATCCCAATATTTACCCAAAGGAATATAAATTGTTCTGCCATAAAGACACATGCACACATATGTTCACTGCAGCACTATTCACAATAGCAGAGACATAGTGTTAGTTTAGATGCCCATCAATGGTAGACTGGATAAAGAAAACGTGGTAAATATACATCATGGAAGGCTATGCAGCCATAAAAAAAAGAACAAGATCATGCACCTTTGACCTAATCCTAAGCAAACTAATGCAGGAAAAGAAAATCAAACACTGCATGTTCTCACTTATAAGTGGGAACTAAACATTGAATACACATGGGCATAAAGAAAGGAACAATAGTCACCAGCACCTACTTGAGGGTGGAGGCTGGAAGGAGGGTGAGGATCAAAAACCTACCTATTAGATACTATGCTTACTACCTGAGTGATGAGATAATTCATACCCCAAATCTCTACAACACACGATTTACCTATAGAGCCAATCTGCACATGTACCCCTGAAACTAAAATAAAAGTTAAAAAAAGCAAAAATTATTACAAAATCAACATATGCTCAGGTTAGGAAAAGTATAAATAAAAAAGAAAACCTTATATACTGACCTTCCCAAAATTAATGCTCTTAATATTTCCAGATATATGTGTGGGCATGCACTTTTACCAAAACAGACTGTGCTATTTGCAACATTTTTAAAGGTAATACTAGCTACTTTTTGTACCAATAAATCTTAATCCTATCTTTACCTTTTTTTTTTTTTTGAGACGGAGTTTCACTCTTATTACCCAGGCTGGAGTGCAATGGCGCAATCTCGGCTCACCGCAACCTCCGCCTCCTGGGTTCAGGCAATTCTCCTGCCTCAGCCTCCTGAGTAGCTGGGATTACAGGCACGCGCCACCATGCCCAGCTAATTTTTTTGTATTTTTAGTAGAGATGGGGTTTCACCATGTTGACCAGGATAGTCTCGATCTCTTGACCTCGTGATCCACCCGCCTTGGCCTCCCAAAGTGTATCCTATCTTTATCTTATCTCCCGCTTTCTAGTTTCTCTAATTGTCCTCAAATGCCTCTAATATTACCCAAATCAGGATCCAGTCCTGGCCCATGTATCACATTTAGTGGATATGTTGGATCTCTTGGATCTCATTTAATCTAGTATCTTTTTATGATGATACCAGACTTGATGAAAAGCTCAATCAGTTGTCTGCCCTGTTGAATGCCACATATTCTCGATTTTTTGTTTGCTTCTATATAGTATCATTGCAGTTGTACCTCTAGTCCTTGTCTTTACTTCAAACTGGTAATTAAATGTAAAGGTTTGCTGAATTTAGGCAAAAATTTTTGGCTAATATACATCTTAAGAGTTGTAGGTGTGACCTGGAAGCACTCGCGGAGGCCCCCACCTTGCCACTGATTTCTCTGCCAGGTGACACGTGGCTTCCTTTTTCTACTCCTGCGGCATGGTGGCAGGAGGCGCGGCCTCGAGATGCAGAATAAGGCCACAGAGTTCGTGGACCTGTACG